AAAAAAAAAAAAAAAAAATAATAATAATAATAATAATAATAATAATAATAATAATAATAATAATAATAATAATAATAATGCAAACTCTAGTTTTGTCAAGAACTAGAAGCCAAAGACAGCCAATACATACCCAAAGGTCCATCTAAGATATTTTCCAGCAAATATCTCAAACACATGCAAGATCTTTTTACATAGTCACTCAATTTGGGTCATGTATCCCTCATATAGTACAGATAACTCTAGACCAAAAGTCCAAAACATTAGTACATATGAACACACTTGTGATCTTCAATTCCTTGCCTAAACATGGAAAATCAGCATCTGTCTGAAGAAGAACTCTCTGATTGGGAACAAATTCAAGCAAGCGAAAACGACACAGAAGTATCTGTTTTCCCACCTAGAAATCATGAAAACTTGCCTACTACAAACCCGCAGGACATCGATCAACATTTGCAACAACAACAAGAACCCATAAATTCGACAGACGATGATGGTGTCGGGAGATGGAAAAGGCTGCGTTTGGAAATGCATAACGCGATTCTCTGGATATCTGGAAAGCTCGGAAAATATTTCACTAGCAAGAAAGTTGGATTACAGACAGCGAGTGGGGTTGCTTGTTTGGCGATGGTTTATCTTTTGCACAGAAGAGTTTTGGTGTGGTGGCAGAGAAGAATGCCGATAGGCAGTCGCAAGGAGAGGTTGATGGAGCTTATAAGACAGAAAGACGAGGTGCGAACTATAATTTGTTACTGTTACTATTAATTACTATTATTATTTCTTGGAAGATTTTAGTAGTGCATATTGTCTATTTTCTACAGAAAATCAACCAGCTTTTACTCCAAATTGCCGAAATGAACGAAATTTTACATGCTCGCCGGAGGGTCCGAGTCATTTGGGTGAAATGAGCACTGGCAGGACAAGCTAAAACGAAAAAGCTACAGCACCACATCAAAAGTACATGAAAAAAATGGCAGAAATTTATGAGTTCTCTTCTCTTGTTCTTTGTCCTTGTTACAAGTTCTGTGTTTCCTGTTTAGAATCAAATGTTTCACTTGGATATTAGCTACTAAGCAAATTGTACTTTTTTCTGCCATGTACAATAGTGATTAGTATATATAATATTGAATTTTGATCTTCTATGGATTCTCGATTCATCTGGGTATTACAAACGTGATTCTGACATCATTATTCGCATGGTAACATTCATCAGAAACAGAATAAAAACATGAAAAAGAGAGAATAAAAATCAACCACTTTGAGTAGAAATGTCTATTAGAATGCATTTAGGCTCTAACTTCCTAATGCCGAGTACTCCAAAAGCCGAACTTGGTCGCAAACTAAACTGGTCTATGCTCTCCGAAGGCTTAGCCAATATACAATTTGTTTTAGAGTTCCCTATCTTAGCCCGCGGATTAGATTCAAAAGAAGCATCCGTTCTTCATTTCGAAACCAAGGCCTGCCTACGTGCCGTTGATTATGTGTCGAAGTGGGTCGAAGCAAAACCCACTAAGATTGACGATTCAAAAGTGGTTTCAGATTTTCTTAAGTCCAACATATTCGCAAGGTTTGGAGTCCCCAGGGCTTTGATTAGCGATCGTGGAACGCTATTTTGCAATAGGACTACGGAGGCACTGCTGAAGAAGTACCAGGTCACTCACAAGGTTTCAACCGCATATCACCCTCAAACCAATGGGCAGGCCGAGGTATTGAATAGGGAGATTAAGTCAATTCTCGATAAGACGGTGAATCCGAGTAGGAAGGACTGGAGCTTACGTTTGGATGATGCACTATGGTCTTATAGGACTGCTTACAAAACGCCTATAGGGATGTCGCCGTATCGGATCGTATTTGGAAAACCATATCATGATCCAGTCGAACTTGAACATCGAGCATATTGGGCAATCAAGAAGTTTAACCTGGACATGAATGCAAGTGGTGAGCATAGGAAACTGCAAATTCAGGAACTACAAGAGATGAGAAACGATGCCTATGAGAGCACCAAGATCTACAAAGAGAGGACGAAGGCTTTCCATGATAAGATGATTTCAAGAAAGCAATTCATAGTTGGGCAAAAAGTTCTCTTGTACCAGTCCCGTCTTCGATTGTTCCCAGGAAAGCTACGAACGAGATGGGAAGGACCTTTTGAAGTCACCAAGGTCTGCACTCATGGGGCTATTGAGATTCGGAGTCCGTCGAGCTTGAAGTCTATCATAAATCGGATGATCTCTATAAATCAAGAATATATACACAAAAATAGGGCTACGGATAACCTAAGGCTAATACGGTAAATACACAAATATACACAATAACAATAGTCAATGGACATCGACTTGAGCCATATCACGAGAACTTCCAGAGTGAGCATGAAGAAAGAGTGGGTCTCGAGGACCCCGTTTATTTTGAATAAATCGAGAGCTTCGTGTCGAGCCAACGACGATAAAAAAGGCGTTTTTTGGGAGGCAATCTAATTTTTTTTTATTTTAATTTTTATTTCTTTATTTTATATTTTTTGTTTTATTTTGTTAGTCTTTGTTTTGTTATTTCTCTAGTTTTGTTTAAGATTTGGAGTGATTTTAAGGTAGACACGATTTTTTTAGGGCATGGGTGAACCACGTACACGTTAAATGATAGTTTTTAAGCCGTGCCCCCGCCTTAAAATAATTTGTTTCTGTGCCGATACTTTTTCAATTCTCGGTGGCAGGAATTTTGCTCGAACACTAGGATGGTGTTGGCATTTAATGACATGACCATGTCAAATGAAAGAAAAAAAAAAAAGGAAATACGAAAAGACAGCAGAGTATAAAAGGGGATAGCCAAATCCCTAATTTTCGTTTTTACCATTCCAAACCCTTCTCTTACTCATTGAATTTCTGCCATCTCTTCACCCGCTCCTCACGGTGAGAAAATTTCACCATAGCACGATTAAGATAAAAAGGGAGAAGACCCCAGCATAATGGTGCAGACATGAGCAAGATCGAAGGTTACCCAGCCAACAAATGTCGAGCCTGAACTGCTGCCACAACTGGAGCCCGAACCACATCTCGAGCCCGAACCACGAGAAGAACCCGATCCGCGAGTGAGGCCTAGTGAACTACAAGGTGAGTCTCATTTCCTATCTGAAGAGAATAGTGGTCTGGGGCAGCACACTCGTTTTCAGGGGTTGGCGAATAGAAAAATTGTACCTAGTGGTTTCATGGATGTGGGGATCCTTCGACGGATAGGGATGTTGGAAGATGTGATAAGTTTGTTCGACACACAAGGATGGTCTAAGTTTATGACCGAGTGTTTGCCAACATATTCCGATTTGACAATCGAGTTTCTAAAGTCGTTGCTTGTCAAGTTCAATGACAGTAAAGCTGGTGGGGTGATTCGGTTTCACTTGGGAGGCAGAGAGTACAATTGGAGCTTGATGCAGGTTGATCGGGCGTTGGGTTTTTGTCATACACACTTTTGGCATAGTATTACAGTGCAAAACGATCCCTATCACGCAAGCAGTGCTAAGGCAACCTTCAATTCGCAACCCGACACTCCTTTATGTACAGCGGGTGATGACTGGAACCATCTTTGCTCGATAGGAGAGTCGCAATGTGGTTTGCTAGACGGAGCTTGAGTTCTTGTGGGCTATGCTCAATCGGCAGAAGCTAAGTTTAAGCTATTACCTGATGAGCCATCTGGCCGGAGTCCAAGAACGAAACCGGGGTGCTATTGTGGTAGGGGGATCGTGACTGCCATCGCGAAGAAGTGGTGTAAACCTAGACATTATGCCATTATTAACGAGAACCCGAAGGTTAATGAAGCGACACTGGATCGCATGGGAGTTCTTTGCCGAGAAGGTACTGTCTATTACTTCCAAGGTTCATTAGCCCTTACCATCTCCACAGGTTACCACGCCATGGCGTCCGACAATTTGAAGATGCTCATTCACCATCACATCGGGTAGGATCACTCCTAGTACTGGTACTAGAAATCTAAAAAGACGCTCACCTAGTGCTTCTGTTATGCCGGCTGAGACCACAAGTCGCGATGGGGATGAGGATTTGCGATTGGTTGTGATGGAGATGCGAGCGGATGTTCGAGAACTCCTGCTGATGATGCGTGCAAGGCAACCGCCTCCACAATAATGAATCTTTGTGAGGATCTCTGTCTTCTAGACCTTCGTTTGGAATATGCTTGCGGAGGTGGTTGCCTTGCACGCATCATCAGCAGGAGTTCTCGAATATCCGCCCGCATCTCCATCACAATCGATCGCAAATCCTCATCCCCATCGCGACTTGTGGTCTCAACCAGCATAGCAAAAGTACTAGGTACGCGTTTCTTCAGATTTCAGTACTAGGAGTATCCTACCCGATGTGAATGGTGAATGAAGCATCTTCAAATTCTCTGTACGCCATGGCGTGGTAAGCTGTGGGGATGTTAAGGGGTAATGAACCTTGAGAGTAATGCCCCAAGAGTAGACAATACCTTCTCGACAAAGAATTCCCATGCGATCAGTATCGCTTCATTAACCTTCGGGTTCTCGTTAATCATGACATAGTCGTCTAGGTTTACACCACATGTCTTTGCAATTGCAGTCACGATCCCCCCTACCACAATAGCACCCCTGTTTCATTTTTGGTCTCCGGCCAGATGGCTCATATAATAGCTTGAACTTAGCTTCTGCCGATTGACCATAGCCCACAAGATTTCAAGTTCCGTCTGGCGAACCACATTGCATTTAGTAACCTACCCTTCTTCATAAACCACTAGTGAGCTCCTTTGAGCCTTAGACTTTTCTTTGATTTATAACACACTATAAGCTATAATTTCCTTTTCTTGATACCATCTTTTGAACCTTGGATCGAATCAATTATATGAATTTCTTTTAGATGAAGAAGAGCTCATGGTATTATGTACTTAGATGTGATCGTGCCTTGTACGTAGTCTCGTTATTCGACGTAGGCTAGTTTATCTTCCATTTCGTATTAAAAAAATGGACAAAAAATTGAAGAAAATAAAAAAAGAAAAAAATTGAAAAGAAAAAAAAAATAAGAAAAAAAAAAGGCAGGCTTTGTGTACGTTTTCTTTGTATGTCGGTTGTTTATTGAGATCACACGATCATCTTGCATTGAGCTTGGTTTATGATGAGTTTGTGTTTGGTCCGATTCCTTTAGCCTTTATCTTTCTGATCCCACCTTACCCTAAGCCTCATTACAACCCGATTTTAACCCTTTGATTTTGTGTTTATTCTTATTCATTTTAGGTGGTTGGACGTGATATCTTTGCAAGCTTATGGTAAAAATCTTCAATGTCTTGACTTGAGCGTACACTTAACATTTAGCCTATATACTTTGAGTGCAAGAGTGAATCTCGTGAGAAGTGTTGATTTCCATGTGTTTAAGTTACGTGATTGTTGGGTATATTTCTCATTGGTTGGTTGATGGGGACTCAAGTTTGACTTGTGTGTTGATGCTTACTTTATGTTTTGAATTGGCGTTGAATGATAGATGATGATTATGAGTGGAAATAATGGATTTGACTTGATGCTTGAGGACAAACATCGTTTTAAGCGAGTGGAAACTACCATTGTTGGAATTTTGTGTGCAGTTTGATCGGTATAACCATCATGGCAATAGTGGAATTTTGATGGACATGGAATGTTGGAATTCTAAGGAACAGACTACAAGTATTGTGTATAAATTTGTAATATGGGCCTATTAATATTAGGCCCATGATCGTTAATAACGGGGAGTCCTGATAATCAATGAGTGGTAAAATCCTGAAAAGACCGCACGTACCGAACCGCAAGGAGTAGACAAAAAGAATTTCACGCGACCAGCAACCTTAAAAACCCTCTCTTCTTTTTGTTCTATTTTTCTTCTACACTTTTGCTAGACTTTATGGAAGTCCTGCGCGGCTAATTATCTTTTGCTTCGGTTGATTACGATTGAAACCCTGAAATTAATATTGTGAGATCTAATTCGTTTTTATCTATTAATTCATATGTCGTATTAATTGTTTTGTGTGTTTATATTTATGATTTTGTGTTAGGATTGTAACCTGATCAACTATTGTCTTATTCGCTTAATCTACTACTTGGTAGATATTGAGTTGGATTTAGATAATTTATCTGTTGAGTGTGGCAGTTGGCTGGATTTAGGCGTTGTCATTCTTAGGCAAAATAATTATACAAGTTAGCATTTAACGAATTAGTTATTTGTTGCTTGTGTTGTCGGGCTTCAATTCTTAATGCTTTTGCTAGGATAATTTTACACGATATTGGGAATTGCTTAGTAATAAGGGTTGTGTAGAAGGATTTATTTTGCATAACCCATTTAGGAATCAGAATTCATCATTCAACGATATCTACGTATTTATGAATTGATAATATTTGCATCAAAGATCAATAGGATAATTCGGGATGGAAATCAATTCAACCACAACACTTTAGTAATATTTTTCATCTTCATCTTGCTGTTTACTTGTGAATCTTTTATTTAATAATTGTTGGGTATCACTGTCTTTATTTTCTTGTCAATCAGATAATTAGGATATAAATCAAATCTTCCCCATTTTAATTACATAGTTAGAGTTATTTAATTAGATTATTCTTCTTGGATACGATCCTTGCTCACGCTACTGCATATTTAGAAGCAAAGGTTAATTTGGGTGCCTAAGACAGCACGACCACTTATTCTTTATAAACGCAAGGTATTATAGTTGAGGTAGTTTATGAGTATTTTTGCTTTAGCGTGGGCATTTCAATATGATCACCCGGTATGCGGTTGATCAATATATCGTAAATCCCGTTGGGGTGTGCACACATGATATATATTCAAGGCGTGGTTGATCAACATACCGTAAATTCTGCAGTACGAAGCATCTCGTATATACAGCAGCATCATCTGTCGTTTTATTCATGTTTTATGCTTATATTATGATAGATGTTTTTATACTGAATAAAGTATAGTATAGTTCCTACGGTGAGCTAGTTGTTTTGCTCGCCCCTCACAATTATCATTTTCAGGTTAAGCAGCTGGCGTTGGACACGAGGAGTGATGGTGGTCAAGATGTGTTTTGATTGTTTACGTTTATGCTCAAACTCTTAAGATTCATGATTTTAAATGTTTTTAGAACTTGTTTTAGGATCTCAATTTGAGATACCGTTTTAGTTGATTTTCAAAATGTTTTAAGTATACCTGAATGAGTTTGTTTAAACAGTTCTGAAAGCAGTAAAGTTAGCAGATGTGAATATCATTCCCATAAATACTTAAGTTAGCGACTTAAGTTTCAAAAAAAAAAAGTAGTTAAGTAAAACAAGGAGAAAAGAAGTTTTCAGCAAAGATAAGAAAGAGTTTTAAGTATATACCCAAAGAAAAGTTTTTAAAAGTTTAGGTGATTTCGAAAAAATTTGAAATTGTTGTGGAAAAATCATTGTTTTCCAAAAGTTAAATAGATAGTGCTTACGTGTGTATTGTGTAAAATAAGAACCTGGACATCCTTTTATAGTTAGGTTTGTCCGCTTGCCAAGAGACTCCTGATATGGTAATAATTCTTCCTATATCTTCCTTCTTAGGGGGCATATGCAATGGTTCAGGAATTGTTCTATTTATTGCCATATAGCCCGATAAATCATATGTGACTAAAATTTCTAGAAGTCTTTCTAAGTCTAGAAGTAAACATCTTCTATTATATATTATATTATTTATTCAATTTATCTCTTTTCTCCGACTAATTAAATCTTTCATATGTAAATTACTTACAATTAACATTAACCATTGGAAACACAATTTCTTGATTTTTTTTCTCTATGTTATACACCTCAAGATGGACGATATGCCACTAGAGATGCTCTTAGCTAACTAGATCGTCCCACATCTCTTAGTATCCTTAAGGATATGCACTTTTCTTCCATAAGAGATTGCTTCTTAGGTTTCTAGATCTCTTTAATGTCGTCCTACCTTATCATGAGGTAAAACCTACTAACTCAAATATACTAAGGCCAGACTCCCGTCTAGGCGTACCATGGCCGTCGATCATCCCTTGGTATCACTAAATTGGTTGCCTGACTTAGTTTATGAGGTCTTCCTTTGACCGAGCTACATGCCCTTGATGTCATTACCTCAAGCCCCTTGAGGTCGGACAACAATCACGGCTATTAATAATTAGATCGAGCCCTCAGGTCATTCGTTCGTCAAGCCTCCTGAGGTCGGTCCTTTAAGATTCGACCCAACTGCCGAGCTAAGCCGAATTGTTTGGTCTAACACCGACCACTGTCGAGCTAAGATCTTTTAGCGGTCTGAACGACCTACTCTTGAATGCTATGTCATTGTGCACGATACTCTTTATCATTCATGTGTTAATTAATAAATTTGTACATAAACTTTAAAGAAATAAGAGTAGAAGTTTTAAAATGCTATTTTTTTTTTAATATTTCTTAAAAAAAATCATGATATTTTTGTTCAAAATAACATTCGAGGTTGTAAGGTTTGTGGTACTAAATAATAATAGTATTTTTTTTCCAAAACGATAGGCATTATTATAAATCAAAAGCGCACAAATGTGCGAATAGAAGCAGCCCCTATGTGAATGATAACAACCAACAACTGAAAAGTGGGAGAACATGTCAAAATACTACCTACAATCCCGACTAGCAATAGTAGAATAAAAAACTCGCAACTAAACTAACCAACTACTCGAACAACTAAAACAACTAAAAAAGACCCCAACAGGGTAATGTCCGAGTGTCGGATCCCAACAGGATAATAAGTTTGTATAACCCATCAGATAACATTGCTTATCAATATATTTTAGATTCAGCATATAAATTTGTTTAACTCAACAATACTGTTTTTTTTTTTTTATTATAATTAGGATTTATATATTTTATTTATTTAAAAGATAGATACATTTTTATATATATATATATATATATATATATATATATATATATATATATATATA